GAACCCAAAGAACGATTATCCATCGTTCTGGAATCGGACCACCTTCCCCTTTTCCAACCTTTGCTTTTTGGCCAAGAGTCGCGGTTTTCGATTATCGTGTATACCTACACTCGATCTTAGCCGTCTCGACTTATCGACGACTATCGAGAAAATAATTAACCTGCACCTTTCCGAACAGTGAAGATTTTCAGGTGTGATGATGAAGTGTTTCAGATTTCTAGAAATGGAACAGACTCTTTTAAATGGTGTTTGACGATAATTTGAATAGATAATTTTTATTTCGAAAGGGAGAGAGAATTATCGAGGAAAGTGTGGCAATTCATCGAGTTGATCGATTAAAAGTCGCGCAAAGAGGATTTTGTACGAATAATCGGTTAATTCTCGCGCAAAGATGATACGGTAACGAGGGAGCATCGTATAGGACGACAACGTGATTAATTCACGCGGAGAGGAGAGAGAGAGAGAGAGAAAAAAAAAAAAAGAAAGAAAATGTTTATATTTTATACGAACGGTATAACGAATTGACTAATTGGTTTTACCGACGACGACGAGTCTCGTTTTCAACGAGATTATTCCGTGTTTATTCAGAGTTTAATGTAATTCCTCTGCCACTGGATTTCCAGGCTTCGTTAAGTGTACCTCTCGGAAAACCTCTCTCGTTCAACGACGACGCGAATATTATATCCGTCTAATATCGCCATTCAAATTTCTTTTAAATTTTCCAAACTGCTTCTCTTTCCCGCGTCTTACTCTCCGACCAATAATTTCTCTAGGAATTATTACGCACAGAGGGTCGAAATGACCGAGTTTCCCTTCCAAGCGTGATCCGTTGGCCCCTACTCGAGCCGTTCAAAAGAATCCTGTCGATCGTCGTAATCGGCCGAGCTGTGCCTCCATTGTGCTATCCCAGTTTCAACGAGTTTCCAGGAAGATTGACCTTTTTTTTCTTTTTTTTTTTTCGAGTCGAGTGGCCCTCTCCCATCGGCAATTATTCTTTCAACTCGCGTTGCAGCCAAGAATATACATTGGTTAATCGCGAAACTTACGAGCCGAGGCGAGGAGATTCTGGCAAGGATACAGTTGGAAGATGAATTCTCTTCTCTTCGTACAATTGATACGCGTTGTTGGTTCTTGAAAAAAAAAAAAAAAAAAAAAAAAAAAAAAAAAAAAAAAGTTGTAAATTTCCACAACAAGTTCGTTTATTTCGAACGCTTGTTATCCGCGTTCGAAGGAGTGTAAACGGATCTCGTGATCCACGGTTATTTGTACTAATGTTTGGGGAAAGTTTGGAGTAAGAAGGGTTATAATGGAATTCTTAATAGGTAATCTCGAGATCGATTATACACCGATGTTTGAGTTTGGACACGTAACGGTTTCAAAGTTTCGATCAAACTGAGGGATGGAGAAAAATTATAACGATTGAGGATAAAGTTGGTCCAATTGGTAATTTAGTATCCATCAAGAATAACTAGCGGCGAATGAATACGAATAAATGTTGTTCGAGCATTTTGATCGATGATTCGGATTGGTGATGCAGCAAAATTTAATAATTCGAACTTACTTCGAGTAACTTCGATATTGTTCAAAATATAATTGCAAATGATTCTGATGCCAAACGGTGATCAATATTATAATAATTACGAACAAAGAGTTAATTTTCCAAGATAACGTAGGCCATCTAACAATACACCAATTCCTTTCTACTCGATATGAATTCGAAAGATTTGAATCGAAATCTCGTAATTATAACAAAAATATAACAAAAACAAATTCCCTAAAAAATAAATCGCAACGTGTCCACTACATCCCTCGCTTCTTCGAGATTTTCACCATTTCGAAATTTTCGAAAGCCCACGATTCGAAAGGCCACTCGTTTAATTCGTTAAAAAAAAAAAAAGAAAAAAATAAAACACATTATTTATCACGAAAATTGTGCGTGGACACGGAGGGAAGGGATGAAAAGGAATGGAACGGGAGAAAAGAAAAGTAGATAGATAGATAAATAAATAAATAAATAAATAAATAAACGCGTAACACGGTCGTACGTTAGTGCAGTGATAATTTCGCAACTTGTAATGCTCTTTGGGCTTGAAACTGTTGAAATTATGGCGGTGGCCGCGCTAACTTCGCGTTACGTCAAAAGTTCCAACGCCCGTTTAACATACGTCCCGCGCTATTTATGATCCGACGTATATTTCCGCTTTGTAATTGTCCCTTGAACCTTAAACGAGCGAGATTCATCCTCGCGCCACGTGATAGTGATAACGACTTCCGAATTTTCCAACCGTCTCGCCACTCTCCTCTCGCCTCGATCCCACTTTACATGTACAATATCCGCGCACGCTGCCACTTCACAAGAAACCGTATCGCGCGAAAGAACGATGTAAGAAGGCCTTGCGCGTAGAATTTCTTTTTTAAAAGGGGAAGGAAAGTAAGAAAAAGATAATGCGAACAAGATAATTCGAAACATTGCGGGGATTGCGGGAATAATTTAATAAGGGTATCGGTTACGGAATAGAAGATTAAACGTGTAAAAATAATGTTCGGACGGATCGAACCTCTTAAAAGTTTGTAATCGATGTCTGAAAAGTTTCTCGAGCTATGTACATTTAATACGATAACGAGCGGCTTGTAATACGTAAAAATATAACGGATATAAGTGGAGCTAATCTTACCTCATAAATATCAGAATTTTAATTTTAGTTTCGACCGATTTCACGATTCCGTGTCCTTCGTTTTAAATCGTTTCGAAATATTTCGAAAGGAAGCTGGTGGTTATTATTATTAATTGGAACGTCAATGGCTTGGAATCGTTTAGGCGTCAGAAATTAATATCACGGGAAATCAGGGGAAAAAAGGAGAATAAAGATCGTCGTCGAATTACAATGTTCGATGAGGGGTGCAGCTGGGGCAGGCAATCTTTCTGTAATCGCCAACCAACCCCTCCCCTCGCCACTCTCGCCACTTCCTTCATCAACTGTTTCCGACTGTTGCACATCTTGGTGAAAATCGTGCATTTTCTAATTCTGAAAGGCAAGCTTGGCCTCCCTCTCTTCCCTCCCCCCCCCCCCCCCCGGGAGGGGAAGCTTATCTTCGAAGCTTTTAATTTCGAGCGGCCGAGCTCTTTACAGCTACGAGAGGTATAATTATCCGCAAGAAGGCGAAGGGGGGTGTAGCATTGAATATTTTAACTCGTGCTCCACTCTCTTTCCTTTCCTCCTTCTCTTTCTTCTCCCAGTTGCGTTTGTTCTTGTTGTCTCCTTCCAGTTCGCTCATACCCCTCCTTTATATTTTCGTCCTTTTCGTTCTTATCGACGGTAAGAAGAAAAAGAAAGGTAAGAAAATGTAGTAAATATAAATGCGTAAAATTATCGATACACGTGGAGCTAGAGATACAAAGCTGGATACATAAAAGTTTTAGTTTCGATTTATTCAAGTCGAGTTACTTAAGATTTTTTTCCATTTAATTTAACGCAAATTTAACGTATTTCGCCACGATTCTCGACAATAATTCCTTCAGATGATAAGGAATCGATGAATTATCTTGCAATTTCTTTTAATTTGCTAAATAATCTCAATCGTCAAAATTTTTCCTATCCCGTCTTTTTTATATTTACCACCGAAATCCACCACATTCAAAAGTACCCGAACACGAACACATTTTTTTACACGAATGAAACGAATATCCCAAGACCGCATTTCGAAAAGAAAAAGGAAAGAAAAGAAAAAAGACAGAAAGGGTAAGGTAAAAGACGATTCGAGTCAAGCGACCAGCAGAGGCGAGAGATTAGCGCACCGGAGTTACCATCCGGTATTTTGCAGTCAGATTTACATAAGTTCCTCTCCCTTTGCACCCCTGCCTCCTTTTCCATCTCTTCCATCCTTTTAATCGCCCCCTCCACGCTCCTCCTCCTCCTCCTCCTCCTCCTCGCGCTCCTCCATTTTTCAGGCGCGCGCGTACGCCTCGCAAACCGTTAATTATCTGCCATTTGATAATCCTCCGGTTCGCCACCGCGCCATTTTATACACACCGTCCCTCATTTGCCACGATAATAATTTCGGATTCACTTCGCTCTCCTTTCCCCCTCCAATCCTTTTTTATTTCATTTTTATTCTTTCTCTCTCCTTTCTCATCGACAAAATCCGATCCTTTCCCGCGTGGAATCATCGTGTTGCGAGCAATGGACGAGAAAAAAAAATGAAGAAAGAAAGAAAGGAAGGAAGGAAGGAAGGAAGGAAGCGTTTTCTTCTTGGACGAGATGGAGTCAGTTGGTAAGGGACTCTGGACGTTTGGACGCGGAGCACGTATGGAGGCCGTGTTTCAAGAAGTAAAAACCGGAGATCGGAGTCTCTTCCCTTCCTGGTTACGTTTCTCGCCACGACCAATTTCCCGCAGCCGGTGTACGAGGAGAACGAGGCATAAATCGTTGATAAATCATCGGGAAAGAATGGGCCTGTAATTACGGCCTTATTAATCGCTCGCCAGTTATGCCGTGCAGTTTCCTTTTTCCTTTCCTCGTCTTTCCTTTCCTCGCGCAACGGCCAGTTCAAGCGTCCGCCATCTGTTTCTATTAATGCGTATCTGCTTAAAAGTTTCTCAGAGAATTCTTTTTAACTTGGCTTCTCGTTTACATCAGATAGTTGGCTAATTTTACGGCTGGTTGCTTTAGATTTAACAAAAAAAGAAAAACCCGTATAATATATGGATCATGATGAACAAAATCTTCCATAAACGAGAGAAACATCTTTCTTTATTAACATTAGTTTAATAATTGATCGAATTCTTTCGAAATAAAAGTTAGAGAAGTAACTTATTAATTTCGAATAAATGTAATTTGTACTTTCAAGAAGAAAGATATTAATTACTTCTTTAAGTATAAGAATAATGGATATTCGAATTTATCAGACGAGAGAAAATCGATATTAGAGAACTTATTTATTTTGAATATAAACGTTGTAATTTTGTTCTTTCAAGAATAATATAAATATATATTTCTTACCTTTTCTTGTTCCATGTACGGTTCCAGGATGTCTCGAGGACAGACGGGTTGGTCGGACGAGCCGTGCGCGTCGTCGAGCGGCGGTCGAAGCGGGCGACAATCCGCGGGGCCATCGGCGAGGACGACGCCTCCAATCTTCGAGGACCGGTCTTCCGCCACCTCGATCTGTAAAGGTGGATTCAGATTAGGCGTTTACGGTTGGAGGAAAAAGTGTTTGTACTCTCTGGTGCTCGCCCTGATGCTGATCGTGATCCTGAACCTGGCGCTCACCGTGTGGCTGCTCAAAGTCATGGGATTCAGTACGGTGAGTCGTGTAATTTGTCCCGCTGAAGAATTTTCGTTCTCTCGTTTCGTTATTCTTCTTCGATTCAAATGCGTAATACGATGTAATGTAATACAATGTAAAGGACGAATGTAAGAAAGATTATATATAAGATAATTGTCGGCGATATATATTCTTTGATCGAGGCTTCGTTTATGCGAGTGCACGAAAAAAGTGGGACGATCCGGATCTCGGTTAAATTAATATCACGAGAAAGGAGAGGATATAAGGATTAATTATGATATCGTTAATTCATAAGACCTCTCGAAAGTTTGATATTTCTGTACATTATAAGATTATACATTCTTTAGATTTTAACCAGGTCGGAGTACCTAGTTTGAACAACGTCTATTAATTATCACTACTTTTACATGCAAATCATGAATAATCTTTCCAAATTAATCCACAAGATCTCCCTTAAAAGCTCCAAGTCTTCGTCCCATAATTACACGTCGTTTGGATCGCAAGTAGGTCAAAATGACGATATTAAATAACTTTAATACCTCGTTCCAACCCGGAAACAAGGTCATCGTGTTTACACAAAGACGTCCCCCATTTCCCTAAATCACGCACCGCTAATAACCACATCCTTGCGAAATCCTTTAAATTCCACGCAAAGAAAAATTAACGTAAATTAACTTCAGAATCATACACGTTCTTTTTCCTTTTTCTTTCTTTTTTTTTTTTTTCATTTCTTTGCGAAACACAGACGCTCTCTGCGATTCGAATCCACGACTTTCAAGCGTCATCGCGTTATTTCGATCGAAACGAAAGAAACGAGAGGAACGAAAGCTGGCTCGTCGTGTCGACGACCACCGAATGGAACGAATCTTCTTTCGATACGTAATTATTGGCAACTATTATCGCCGAGAATCCGCGGCTTTTATCCGATAACGAGTCTCGATTCAAACATCTTACGTTCTCTCTCTCTCTCTCTCTCTCTTCGTTCCTTGCGTAATCTAATCGATGCAAATACGATTTCTGTATTGTGATCGAAGATTGTCGCTTGTTAGCAACAGTAATAAGATATCGTATCGCGATGAACGGGTTGAAGCGATTAGACCGTCGAGTGGAGAACGGGGGTTTGCTCCAAAAAGGGGAGGGGGGATATAGGGCGTGATGGAGAGGCTGAGAGATTTTAATATCGTCCGATGGTTTTTGAATGGAGTGATATATTGTTGACTCGAGCCCGTTATGGCTGATAAGAAGACGAATCGAATCATCTGTCATGTCGGACGTTTATCAAGCTCGAGATAGTTTGAGCTCTGCTCTGTGTGTTGTATATGTATATATGTGTGTGTGTGTGTGTTTATAGAAAACGAACAGAGAGATTATTCTTCGATCTTCGTTCTCTAACTACGCGCTTATTCCACCTCATCTGTCCTGAAATATTTAGTTACATTAATTAAAATTAGTTTTCTTTTTTTTTAATATGAATAGTTTCGATCGCTTTGCTGTGCGAAACGAGACAAGTATTTAATTATAATAATATTCGAGTAACGCGTAATTTAAGTAAGTAATTCTAAATTAAAACGAAGTTAAAACGAATAATAAATATTAATTTTAATTACCGTAATATTAAATGTAACGTTTATATTACAGATTTTAAATATACGTTAATTAAATATACTGCCACGAACACTGCAATGTCTCTTTCAGCGAGAAAATTTAAAATCTTAGCTTTCTGAACTGTGAATAATATTTAAACAAGATCTTATCACCCAAAATAAATTACAACTTAATTTAATCAATTTTTTCAATTTAGTACCTAACTCCTCCTATTCGATCTTGGATCATTTGGAGCGTAGTAGCGTACGTCTGATCACTCACGTCCGGATCTACTGCCACGAGCACGCGACCAACGTCTCTTTCACCTGTCGACCCCGTGCGATCAATCGCGCGTGTACGCGCAATCATCGATCAGATATCTCTTAAAAACAAGGCTCCAGTTTTGTCCCCAAAACTTGCGGGGGAAGGGAGGAGACCACGCACTACATCACGCCCATAATAAAATCAATTCACGTCACGTCGTTGGAAATTAGTTTCACGCGAGTTCCTCCGCTCGAACAACAGAGGCCTGCCGGCGCGCCATCTCTATACACAACCATCTATATATATGTATATGTAAATATATATATATACGTATACACAGATAAGATCGACACGCGCGAAACGAAGCGAGGAAGAGGGGCAATCTGGTTTAATATAATTCCACGGTAATTGCCGGAATCGTTGCATCGTGTTGATCGCCGTTTGCGCTTGGCACTTCTTTATGCGGCCCCTGTTAATTCACAGGTTTATAATTAACCGGAGCCCCTTGAAGCGGCCGCCGAACGAGGGGTGGCTCGTTACGGGGCGCGGCCTTGATAACAACCCCGTCGAAACGAGATCGTTAGAAAAAGCTCCCCCCTCCCCTCCCCGGTTGCTTGTTCCGGTTGTTTCATTAACGTTATTGCCCAAATCCGACGCGCGGTCGAACCGCGATATTTAATGGCATCGAGTGTATCTGTATGCCCAACCTACGTTTACGATATAGGCCTATCTATTTTTAATTCGTCGGGATTTCGTTTCATAAAGTCAGAAATTTTTGATCTTGAATCTTCGCCAAAAAATATTCGAGAATAGTTTAATTCTTTTTTTTTTNTGAACATATTAGCACGCAAAACAAAGAGACGCTGTTTCCTTTTGGGAAGAAAGATCCAAATACAAATTCACGGAATTTGTATTTTATTTGTATTACATCACAGATTTCGAAAAAAAAAAAAATACTGCACTTATTGCACGATCTCAAATGTTTCCTTTTGGGAAGATTCAAGATAGATCCAAGTACAAATTCACGGAATATTACACCACAGCTTTCGAAAAAAAAAAAATATTGCACTTATTGCACGATCTCAAATGTTTCTTTTTAGGAAGATTCAAGATAGATCCAAATACAAATTCACGGAATATTATACTATAGGTTTCGAAAAAAAAAATATACTTATTGCACGATCTCAAATGTTTCCTTTTGGGAAAATTCAAGATAGATTCAGATACAAATTCACGGAATATTACACCACAGGTTTCGAAAAAAAAAAAATACTGCACTTATTGCACGATCTCAAATGTTTCTTTTTAGGAAGATTCAAGATAGATCCAAATACAAATTCACGGAATATTATACTATAGGTTTCTAAAAAAAAAAAATATACTTATTGCACGATCTCAAATGTTTCCTTTTGGGAAAATTCAAGATAGATTCAGATACAAATTCACGGAATATTACACCACAGGTTTCGAAAAAAAAAAAATACTGCACTTATTGCACGATCTCAAATGTTTCTTTTTAGGAAGATTCAAAATAGATCCAAATACAAATTCACGGAATATTATACTATAGGTTTCGAAAAAAAAAAAAATATACTTAAAAAATATACTGCACGATCTCAAATGTTTCCTTTTGGGAAAATTTAAGATTGATTCAGATACAAATTCACGAAATTCATATCACACCACAGTTTTTGAAAAAAAAAAAAATACTGCACTTATTGCACGATCTCAAATGTTTCCTTTTGGGAAAATTCAAGATAGATCCAGATACAAATTCACGAAATTCATATTATACCACAGCTTTTAAAAAAAAAAGGGAATATAGTGCACTTGCTACACGATCTCAAATACATCGTAAGGGTGTTAATTAACTATATTAGCATGCAAAGCAAAGAGACGCTGTTTCCTTTTGGAAAGATTCAAGATAGATCCAGATACAAATTCACGAAATTCATATCACACCACAGTTTTTGAAAAAAAAGGGAATATAGTGCACTTGCTACACGATCTCAAATACATCGTAAGGGTGTTAACTAATCATATTAAAGGTAAAGCAAAGAGATGCTATTTCCTTTTGGAAAGATTCAAGATAGATCCAGATACAAATTCACGAAATTTATATCACACCACAGCTTTCAAAAAGAAAGGAATACAGTGCGCTTATTGCATGATCTCAAATACATCGTAAGAGTGTTAACTAACCGAGTACCTGTACACTCGCACGGCATTATGCTATATAATAACTATACTATATTTCGATCGAGCATCGTCATGGTTTATTTATCACGTGTCAACAGTGCAGCAAATGCTGCGAGCCACTAGCTCGACATAGGGCGTGATTAATGGTTAGACCATCGGGGCCCGAATTTATATCTATTCGATTGAAATCAAAGCTAGACCACGAATGAACGATCCGATACGAACGAGCCATTGGAATCGAAAGATCGAAGGATACTTTTACCAGTACTTAGAATCCATCGGCAAGCCAGACTGGCGGCTGGGGTAAGACACCCCTCCATCCACCTCCTGAACACTGTCGATTAAGGTAAAGACGATGGAGAAATCCCTTTCTATATCCCCCTTTCTTTCGAGTGCGCTGCACCAACCAACCCCTAACCTACCCCTCGCCTATATATATATATATATCCGCCATTATCGAATTTATTTGAAATCGAAAGGGGCTGCCGCGATCAGGCGCAACGATCCCTCGATAGGGGCTAAACTCGCTGGAAATTGAGTATCAATCCGTAAGTAAGGAGTGTTCGAGGAAGCGGGGGATATCCCGTGGGAAATGTAAGGCCTCCGCCACTTCTTTCCCACCTTCGTTCTTTTCCTTCCATCTCTTCCACTCTTCGCACCGATTTCTTCGCTCCCACGTTTCTATCCCATGCGTCGTACTCTCTCTCTCTCTCTCTCTCTCTCCCCCACTTTCGTTCAACTCTCGCCTCGTCTCGCTTCGGCTACGTACCCCCTCGCTCTTCTCGCGGAAACGGAAGTGTTCTTTGCCACCTCGGTGATGCCGTTTCCCCGAACGATCCTCCTTGACGCGACGTGAGTAATGCGTGTCGCTTCCCTGTTCGCGGGTCGTAAATAAAGCGGACACGCGGGATCACCGTTATTGCGGGAAGAGAAATCGTTCGTTCAGGAAGGCAAGAAGGCTTGGTTCGTTC